TTACAGTTACTCTTTGGAATTTACTGAGGTGAACTTTTATGAAATATGTGAACTTTTAAGAAACGTGTGCTTTATTTTTGAGGTTCTTATTCTGACATATTTCTATTATGGTCAATCTCGTTAACTATAAGCATTTTACTTATTTTTCCTGAGTGAAGTGTGTTATATATCTATTATTAGTGTGTTTCTCTGTTTTTCTTTGCAAATCTCACGGCTTCTTCTTTATAAAATCATTTCTATTGTTGGAGGCATACACCTACTTAACCTGCATTGAGAAGAGTACCCTTTGGCATTATAAAATATGCTTCTTTATCGCTCTTAAATTTTTTTAGTCTAAATTATACCTTGTCAAATAATGACAGTGAGGTACCTGCTTTATTTTCAGGTGCAATTCTTGCTATATACTTATCTTTTTATTTTTACCTTTTTTATTTTTACAGAGTATCATATTTGACTGTTAGTCGATCCTAAAACCTTCAGTTATTATTTTAAGAGGTAAGTCAAGTCTACTTTCAATTATTTAAATAATCAATAATCTAATTATTAAAATAATCAATTCTCTTATTAGATTAAAATATAGCATGTTTTTATTATAAGACTATAAGTATGTAACTTCATTTTTAGCCAAAATGAATTTCCTTTTATTTAAAACATTTTATATGTATGTTGTATGTCTCATCCACAGATCATACAAATAGTCATATATCACTTAACAACGAGGATATCTTGTGAGGAATGTGTTATTAGGTGATTTTGTCATTGTGTGAACATTATCGAGTGTGTTCACATGAACTTGAATGGTACAACCTACCGCACACCTCCTGGGCTACACACCTGCTACTCTTGAATACTGTAGGCAACTATAGCATGTGTACAATAGGGAATATGTGCATATCTAAACATAATTAAACATAGGAAAGGTATGATTAAAAATACACTAAGAAGATTAAAAATGTTACAGCTACATAAAACGTACCATGAATTGAGCTCACTCTGAGTGACTCAGTAGGTATTGAGCAAATGTGAATTCCTAGGATATCTACTTACTACTATAAGAGTTTAAAAATACTCTATACTTAGGCTACACTAAATTTATAAAAGATATTATTTCTTCAATAATAAATAACCTTAGATCACTGTAACTTTTTTATTATATAAGCTTTATTGTTCACTTTCTTAAAATAAAACTTAGCTTAAAATACACATTTACAGCTATAGAAAAATAATTTTTCTTCTTATCTTGCTCTAAAAGCTTCTATTTTTGTTGTTACTGTTAAAAACTAAGACTCAAAAGCACACGTGAGCCTAGGCCTACCAGAATTAGGATCATGAAGATGTCGCCAGGCAATATAAAATTTTCAGCTCCGTTATAATTTTACAGGACTGCATATATGAGGTCCATTTTGACCAAAACATCATTGACCAACACACAACTGTAAATAGACATGTGACACTCATACCATATCTAGTGCGTAGATAATATCTTCATAAAATATATATATTTATTTTTCGTTTAGGAAATTTCAGATACCTTAATAATATCTTTTAAAATACCCTTAAGTCTTTTTTTTTTTTGTGGTGACTTCCTACTGCAAATAGCTAATACCTCCTTTTTCACCCTTCTTTCCCAATTAAAGTTATAATGTTTACATTCAGACTATACCAATAAAGCAATCAGAAAGTTGAATATAATGGTTCCACCGCCTCTACACTGCCAGAGCACAGAACCACCCATGAGATACCCTCTCCCCTAAAACCATCATTTGGTCTCAGTTCCTCAGGTACGTATGTATTGAATGCTCACCCATCATTCCTTGTACCAGAGTCTGTCCTGGAATTTGGTTATCTGTAGCTTACTCTCCAATAATTTCCTACGGAAACACTCATAGAAACAACAGCTCTAAATTTGTCCATGTTCATGATGGTTTTCAATCTTTACACCCAAAGTCAGTTGGCCAGAATCCTTGATTCACATTCTCTTTCCTTGGTCTTCTTAAACATATCACACCATGTTCTTTTGGAAGAAAGCACAGTTGTTTAAAAAAAATAAGTCTGATGACAATCTGACTCTCTTTAGCAGTGACTTGGTCTTTTTGCCTGGATTCCACTTTTTCCTTTTAAACTTAAATCACTTTACTAGAATGTCTGCCTCAGCTGCCTGAGAAGTTCATTTGCTGGCTATGGGCAAATACCTTTTCCATGTGGAGTTTCAGGCAAGATTTCTTGAGCTACAGTGTTAAATATTTCTTCTTTCACTGGTATGTTCTTCCCCCCCCCACCGGGCCTTCAATTGTAAGTATATTAGATTTTCATCCAATCTCCTGCTTCTCTGATGTCTTTGTCATCTCCTATTCATGTCCTGTGGGTTGTTGAAGGTTTTCACTTTTCCATCTTCTGTTTCCCTGTGCCCCATTGTTACTTGTGGTTTAGTCTCTGTTCCCAAAATAATCTTTTCTTTCATTTAAGATTCTCACTCATTATTCTTTGCCTCTCTTTGCAAATCTCTCCACTTACTTTACTTCTACATGTATAATTTATGCTATTCTTTCACAGTACCTTTTTTTTAACTTCTTTTAGTTTACTTTGTTTGGTTTTTTTTTACATTTTTTTAAAGGATACTAATACTAATTTTGTTCTCTTTTTTTAATTAAATGATAGCTGTGTACATTAATACTGTCATGGGGTACAGTGTGCTGTTTTATATACAATTTGAAAAATTTTCATCAAACTGGTTAACATAGCCTTCATGTCATTTCTTTAGTTATTATGTTAAGACATTTATACTCTACATTTAGAAAGATTCACATGTACCCTTATAAGATGAATCATAGGCATGATCCCATCAATCACCCTCCCTCCACTCATCCTTCTCCTTCTCCTCCCCTCCCTCTCCCCTTTCCCCATAGGTATATGTACACCATGGAATACTATGCAGCCCTAAAGAAGGATGGAGACTTTGCCTCCTTCATGTTTACATGGATGGAGCTAGAAAATATTCTTCTTAGCAAAGTATCTCAAGAGTGGAAGAAACAGTATCCAATGTACTCAGCCCTACTATGAAACTAACTTATAGCTTTCATAGGAAAGCTATAACCCAATTATAGCTTTTAGTTCACTTTGAAAGAATTGTAAGCTTATTTATCTGATGGGTCTTTATTACCTACAGACATTATTCTGCTTCTTTCTCTCTTTTACATATAAAATTATATATAAATATATAAATTATATATAAAAGAAACTGTAAGTAATTACATAAATATATCAATTATTTTACTAAAGTATTTATATAAATTATAAACAATTATATGAAATTATGTATTATAAAATTATAACATCTACAGACAGTAAAAGGACAGTAAATAACCAGATAAAAACTGAAATGCTTTTTCTTATACTCTTAGGGAAGTGGGGGGAATAGCTTTTTCTAGCTTCCTGGCTCTAGAGTTCCTTACTCTGTGGTTTTCCCCTGGGGCTCAAAACACGGCCTCTTGTTTTATGAGGCCTACTGGTTCTGCTTCCCTCCCCCACTTTTGTTTACTCTTTTTCTCTCCTTTGCCTCCATTACCCCTGCTCATTCCATATTCTACTCCTCTAAGCAGAGGACCAGAGCTTTGACCTGCAAGGGAGCTTCATTTAGTTATAGAAGTCCACAGGCCAAGGTTGCTCCAGAAATGTGCAGATTTACCCTGCATCCCTCTGGTAAGCCTGGTCCACCACACTCTCCAGTAAGAACTTGTTACTCGTTTTCAGAGACAACAGAAATCTCACTGCCTTTCATCCACTTCCTCCTGTACACTTACTGATGCCATATGTAGAGATAACTGGTCACTTTGTTTTAGATATATTATCTGTGGGTTTGGGTATAACAGGTGACTCTACCTCAAAGTAACTAGCTCCTAAAAGCAAACGCCCAACTTCTCAAATATATAATGTACAAACAAAAATGAAAATGTATCCATATAAAGAATATATTGTAAATATCTGTAATTATAAATTTAGAATAACTAGTCAAAACATACCATCAGATTTAAATGTTTACATTGGTGTACAAAAATCTACACTGTAATTATGAGCGATTATCTTCCAGGCAAATATCAACTTGAATAGATATCCTAGGAGCATAAAACCCAGTCTTCTCGAAAAGTGAGTTCCACCTTTGAGTAAAACATTCTATAGCTTAAGATATCGCTGGGATCACTTACAGGAGCACATGTACAATTTTACAGGGTCTGACTGTAAGTGTCTACTTACTGCCAACAATCAATCTGTTCTACCCACATTTATGATCAGTGCAGCAGAATACCAATTTGAGGGGAAAAAGTCCATATCCCATTTTCAACCCATAAAAGTCAAATCCAGATCTGTGTGAAATACGTCTATACTTAGGTTTACATATTTTAAACATGAACTGCCATCTAGAGTTTTGACTTGTTATAGAAAATTGAAAGTCTTGCTTATAAAAAATATTAGTAGCCTAAGACAACTGGTACCCTTTCAAACTTAATAATCCATTAAATTCTTCAAGCTTATATCAATTCACAAATTATATTACTTATTCATGGAATGAAGACTTTGTCCGTTTTTATGAACAACTATATCTCAGTTCTTTGCATCCAGTAGAGTTTCAATTAAAAAAATGCTTACTATTTATATTCTACATTTAGAAAGATTCACATGTGCCCTTATAAGATGAACAATATAAACATCTTAACACAATAACTAAGAAAATGACATGAAGGCTATGTTAACCAGTTTGATGAAAATATTTCAGATTGTATGTGAAAACACCACACTGTACTCCATGATTGCATTAATGTACACAGCTATGATTTCATAAAAAATAACAATAACATTTAAAAAAATGTTTAATGAAGAGTTAAACCATTCTTATACCCCCTTTAGTTAATACATTATGTGTTCCATAGAAAATAGTAGAGTGCTGTTTCAATGCCACTAGTGAAACTTAAATATTTGAATAGACTTGAATGGCCTTATCCTACCTTGGAGTTGGAAGTGGACTCCAAGAAACAAAGTCTGTTGCCAAATCCTTCTGCTGCCAAACATAGTTTCTGCTGTTCTTTGTGGACAGTCGCGGTGCACTGCAGAACCACCTCATCATCCTACAAGTGGGAGAAGAAAAGGACAGACAAAAGTGAGACTTGACATGGCTATGCAATCTAAATCAGACCAAAAAGAACATCATTGTAGTGCCATCTAGAAATCTGAGTCAAATGTAAAAACTACTGCCCAAAAAAAAAAAAAAAAA